CAAAAGATTTGGGCTGGAAATTTAAAGCTACTTATTCAGCCTCAACTGTGAAAGAGTATGAGTATTACATGTCTCTGTTAGATGCTCAAGATGTCAGGATATGGTCATGGTTAGAAAAAGTTGGTATTGAAAAATGGGCAAAGTCTATGTCTGGTTTAAGTAGATATAATGTGATGACCTCAAATTGTGTTGAATCTTTAAATGGTGTGAATGTTTGTGCAAGATAATACTGTGTTTCCAAAGTCATCAATTTTTTGCGGGAAAGAATGCAAGAATGGTTTAAAGAAAGGAGGGAAAATGATGAATCTGCATGTACAAAATTCTCTACAAAGTATGAAAAGCTTCTTGTCTCTTTACAATATGAATCAAGTCGTATGAAGGTATGTTTTAATCTGTAAATGTTTTTGTTATTTCAAAATTACTTTTGGCAATTCACAGTGCATACTGCCAACTGTTTATGATAACTGTCATTACTGTTTTATTTTTATGTGTCTTTTATATACATGTCTTGTTTTCTGATTTTATTACTCGTCCTCTTGCATTTGATTTTAGGTGAATGCATCTTGTAACTACGAGTTTGAGGTCATTGACAGGAAATGTAGACACTTTGTGGTCAACCTTAATTCCAGAATATGCACTTGTGGGCAGTTTCAACTAGATCATTTTGTTTGTGTTCATGTGATAGGGTGAATTTCCTATTATGTATGTTTGTATTTTTAACTAGTTTTATTAGTTCTAGTTGTAGAAATTACACACTTTTGGTGTAATACTTTATTTTCATTAATTATTTGTAATTTATTTAGATTAGGATTATATTGAGCTTAGGACAGGTCAAAATCATCCCAAGAATCAAAGGATGGATCCTAAAGACCAAAGAATGTGCAAAAAGGAGAAGATCAAATGAAGATTTTGAAATTTGTTCAATACTCGGTCGAGTATTGCCAATACTCGGTCGAGTATTGGCCTGATACGCTGGTCAAAATCAAATCTGGGATCCTGTCGCATACTCGGTCGAGTATTGGCAATACTCGGTCGAGTATGCCTATTTTCACAATTTCCTGGAAATTTCCTCTCATACTCGGTCCAGTATTGCCAATACTGGATCGAGTACCGAACCCTGCCACCTCTATTTTGCTATAAATACACCCCTTTTCCTTCACATTAAGGGAACCAATTCACATATACTCTTTAGCTCAGTTTAGTTAAGTACTTTCTTTATATTTTTATTATGTTTAGTCTCCAAATGAGGAACTAAACTCTTCCATCTTGGTTTTGCTACTTTGAAGCTTAATGAATTTGTAAGTTGTGAGTTATCTTCTTTAATCTTCCTCCTTGAATATTAATTCTTCCTTTAAATACTATTTCTATATCAATGTTGGGGAGTGTTACTAAGATGACAATTAGTTAACATCTTGACATTAGTTATAGTAATAGCTATTTCTTCCTCTATGTTAATATTGGGGAGTGTTACTAAGATGACAATTAGTTAACATCTTGATATTAACTACAGTAGGATTCATCTTCTTTAATATTCTTCCTTGAGTATTAATTAATTCCTTTTCATATTTCATATTAATATTTTGAACATTACTTAAAGGATCAACTAGTTTTGTTTCATATATTAATTATTACTAGAATCAATCGGTTAATACGCTTGTTATTAATTCGGTTCTTTCAATGGTAGTAAACTTGGGTTGTTAATGCATGCTTCTCATGATTAATAAGCCAAGGGGAATTAATTATATTGATTAAACCAATAAACCGCTTGTGTTGAGGTTATCAACCTCAATCGTTTTCATCTTGATTTTATTACTACTATCAAGTTAATATACGGCGCTTGTTCTATATTGACTCGGTAGTAAGTTTTATTATTGAACGCGTCTCGTTATTAATAACTACCCTCGATGAACTGGATATACTCCTCGATTGAGTATTCGAGAGGAAGATAGTTAAAGATATAACCGGGATCGACGAACAATTCATTAAGTGGATAAAAGCAAAGCCAAGTCTCCTTCTTATTAATTAAACCACATAACTCGTTCATCTTCGTGCTTAAATACATTTTAAGTTCAATCACTAAATCAAACCCCCCTTTGTTACTATTTATATAAAAGATAAATATTCCTTTCCCTGTGGATACGAACCTTACTTCACTATACTACGTATTAGTGTTGTATTGTATTATTACTTTGAGTGCACACCACGACAAAGTGCACGTCATCATGCTGTGGCTGCAATTGGTTCTCGTCCTAGTTTGTCTTGTTACAGTTACATTTTGCATTATTACACACGAGATCACTTGTTGGCAACATGGAGTGGCATAATGCACCCAATTGGAGATCCTGAAGATTGGGTCATTCCTTCTAATGTTTCAAGTACTTGTTGCAAGCCTCCTAGCTGTTTGAAGCGACCACCTGGGCGTCCAAAGAAGTCGAGAATCCCATCAATTGGAGAACATGTAGGTTCAAAACATCGGAAATGTTCTCAGTGCAAAGCTTTTGGCCACAATAAGAAGACTTGCCGTAATGCTCTTCCAGTTGATAAAAATTGACTTTCTTTACTTTGTGTTTTTTCATTGGTAGAATAATAAGACATGTACTTGAATCTTTCATAATACTCTATGTACTGTTTTTATAGCTCATAGAACTAGTAATACCCAATGCTTACCAGTGTTTAATGGCAAGTAGACAAATTCAGCATCAGACCAATGTAATGAAAACTTTGAACTAGTTCCTCGGACATCATGCAAAATTATATCATTCTCTGCTGCATCCTGAACAGTACCTCTGCCTTTTCCTATGTCCTCATGTAGAATCTTTAGCATTTGAAAAAAAAAACGGCCCACATGTGGTATATTGTTGTTTCAGTTCATATTGAACTCCTTTGACACCCAAATAGTACATACCTACGTCCAAATGTTGTTTTTTATAATAGAAAATGTATTAGCAATATAGGCAATCATAAGTAAAATGGCAATCATTATGGCAATCATGAGTAAAATGGTATTAAATTTGTACTTTAGATATAGATTTCATTTCATATACCGCGTCTTGCAGCCACTGTCCTTTGGTATAAAGTTTGTATAACCAAGTTTTGGACTCTATTTTTATTGAGTCCAGCAACATTGGAATTCCATGCATATTTTCCTCTCCCACGTTGTACTTTCTGTCACCATCCACTTTTTTCTTATATTTCAGCAGACCAATACTTAGATAATCACCGATTCGCTTCACTTCGTTCTCCGGTGGTGCTTCAGTCGGGTCTTTAGAGAATGGCCCATACACTGTTGTTAGCGGCGGTAAGAACATGTCATGATTCCTTTTCCTTGCCCTTTCTTTTTTTTCTCCTCTTCACTTCAACTGCATTTTCTGATGGTGTGTACCGCGCTGGGGATCTAGGACATCTCTTCTCTCTTACCTGTTCACATTGAACTAATTATAATTCTATAATATGAAATACATTTTATTTTAATGAATGCTATTTATTTGTTCTTACCACAGCAAGTGCCACAGTAGGTGTAGCAGTGCTTTTGTCTCCTTTTTCTGAAGCCTTTCTCTATAATGCGTCTTTTTCAATTTCTTCTGCATGTTTGCAGAGTTCATTTTCAAACTGTGTATCTTCAGGCATGATTTTTTCTGAAAATGTGTTATTTAATGCCACTTTCTCAACCTCTGCCACAGTTTTACACACTTCATTGACAAATTGGGTATCTTCTTGAGAACCCATTCCCCACACATCTTTACCCATTTCTTCAGTTGTCTTCCCATTCTTCTTGTTCACTTGAGCATCCTCTATCTTTTTCTCTTGGTTCTTCACTTTCAGTACTTCCTTTGTTCTCTGTTGTTCTTTCTTCAACTTCTTTTTGACTTTGAAATGAAAAGATATCAAAGTTAGGCATATTGTCTTGTTGCAGAACATCCATTTTGTTCTCAACATCATCTCCTCCATTTTTTTCCTCTATTGCATCTCCATTCAATTCTTCTTCATTATCCATCCTATCATTCTGCCTATTTTCTTCTTGCTCCACAACGTTATCTCCTTGCTCAACATCTTGTGGTCCATTAGCATCCGTATCTGTCTGTTTTTCCTCTTCCATGCCTGCTCCACTTAAGTCATCATCCTCATCTTTATGATGTTCATCTTCCTCTTCTACATCTTCTGCCCTTCCCGGAATTTGATTCCTTGAGAAATCTCTCAGAAACCGAAGAATTTTTGTTAGAAACCACCTCTTGCTTAACTTGACTTCTCTTGATTTCTTTCACATCTGCCATTATTTTGGCAGTTCTTGTTGTTTGCTTCATGATTTTATTCATTATGTTTTGTGCCTCTTTTGTATATAAGGCACCATTTCTTTCCTCTCCACTCTCATCCTCACTTTCATCTCCTTCATATTCAATACCCTTCCTCTTCCCATTAGATGTTTTTTCTCCAGCTTTTTCTTTCACAACTACCGTTTTTTTGGCAATCTGCACTGTTTGTTTGCCCTTTGCTTTCATCTTTTTGCCTCTTTGTCTTGTACGTGAAGAGCTACACTTGTGTCTTCTCCACTTTCATCCTCACTGGTTTCTTTGTTCTTATCACTTTCTTCTGCTTCAAAATCATTATCTTTATTGTTTTGTTTTTGTTTTTGACCCTTCTTTTTTCCTTTTGAATTGCCTGCTCCAGCGTTTTCCTTAACTCTTCTGCACCTCTGAGCTACTCTTTTCTTTGTTTTAGTCTGCACAACTTTGTTTTCTACATCTGAAGCTCTATTTGCATCTTTTCTTTGCACATCTTCTTCAGCTTCCACTCTAGCACCATCAATATTTACTCCTTGAATTAGTTCAAGATCCTGCTCCATTGGAACAATGCATGTCCATTCAAACTGACACATCCCATCATATTAGTAATAATACTAGTGTACATATATTTAATCACAGAATATATAGTATATTATATTTTTAGTATTTCATATACCTTATCATTGTAGAAAATTAGATAATAATAAAAATCAAGTCGAGGCTTCTTATGAAATGCCCACTTCAGTGTCCTTGGCATGATATGTTCTCTCCCATCTATCACTTTACACAAACCTTCTTTTGACAAGCTTGGGAATGTTTCAAATGCCCAGACTTGTAATGCAATCATGCAACCTGGGAATGTGACTCTTTCACACCTACAGGTTTCCAGTGCTTCACAACTTTGTTTCGTATAACTGATCAACTCGTTCCAAACAACTTCACCCCATGGGTAGGATTTAAAGGCTTCTAAATCATCAATGAGATTCAAGTAGTATGACTCCATTGGTTTTGCTGTTTGATTTCCTAAAAATCCGTGTGAAAGTACATACAAAAGTGCAAGCTTTACACCATCATACTTCAAGGTTCCTGGATCAGTACTCTTGTAACTGCTTATTGCCTTCAAGATGTCATTCCTTGTAACTGTTTTCTTGCCTGCCAAATACCGATTCCAGATATCTCATGTGGGCTCTTCTGACAGCACCGGCTTAACACCACTCAGTTTTAAACCAGTGACTATTGCCAAATCCTTCTTTGTGAAACTTATCACACTTTTCTGGATATGGAATCTCATTACATTCTTGTCAACTAATCCATTAACATACTGCACATAGTTTCCTACCAATCCAAGTTGTAGTTGTCCTCTAACCCATTCCATGCTATCAAAATCTGCCAGCCAACCAAAAACAGTTGTTTTGAAATCCTCCAACTCCTCTCTACTTAGAACATTCCTTACCATTTCCATTACTTTGTGAAGATTGCAGTAGGAATTGACACGCATGTCATCCAATTTTGCCAAAATTGTCCTCTTGAAGTATCTTGTTATTGTCTGTTTAATTGACATTAATAAACAAATCAGTACAATTCACTTTTTTAAAAACGTACTACAGATTGCCATGGATACGTCATTTTTTATTCTTTTTTTTTTGTTTTCAGAAAAAAATACTAGTAAAAGAATAATATCTTCACAATGCACTATAGAATGTCATTAATATGCATATCTTTTGTTTAATATGTTAACACATTTATACATATCATTAACCATCATCTCAGTCATGTGAGAATAAACCAAATATGACATTTCATTCTCCTAAATTACACTGATATGCCATTATGTCAAAATGCAACCCAAACATTACCTAAAAAAAACCTGAAACAGAGAACTCATTCATATCATATCAAAACACACTAAAGAGACAGAAAAATGTTTTCCCAATTACCTACAGAATGCCATGAATATTCACTTCTTTTGTTTAATATGTTTAGGTTTACAGATTTATACATATCATCCACCATCATCTCAGGCATGTGATAATAAACCAAATATGGCATTTCATTCTCCTAAATTACACTGATATGTCATTATGTCAAAATGCAACCCAAACATTACCACAAAAAAACCTGGAACAGAGAACTCATTCATATCATATCATTTCAAAACACACTAAAGAGACAGAAGAATGTCTTCCCAATGCCCTACAGAATGCCATGAATATTCACTTCTTTTGTTTAATATGTGAACAAATTTATATATGTTATTCACTATCATCTCATTCATACTTCATTATAAAAATATAATTGCATTTAATTCTCGTAACTTCCACTAATATTCCATTAAGTCAAAATTTAACCAAGCATTACCAACAAAAAAAATATATCACAAAACACAATTATATGGCATTGAATATTACTAAGTTCCACTAATATGGCATTATGACAGTTCCATTAAATGAAAACCAAACATTATCAAAATAAAAAATAATCTGGAACACATATATGGCATTCATATGCGTCATTAAGCAAAAATAACCTAAGAAATTGTCATTTCAAAACAACATCACATGACAAAACCTAGAATTAATAGCCTATAATTCCATTTTGGAAATCGAAATCATCCATCTTCGTTCAAGCTTGAACTACAATCCTTTGCAACATTCTACTTTCAATCGCAATCGTAGTTGCCTTTTGCCAAGTTTCTTCTACGCATGCATGTCAGATTTAATTTTTTTGAATTGTTCTCAGCTTTGGAAACTTAACTTCGGTGCGAGGAATGATCGCGAATATTTAGGAAACGAGAACGGTATTAATGACAGTTTCTTTACGCGCGCGTGTACACGGAGGTCATTTTTGGAATTTCGCTGGCTTTTTACTTCGACGTAAACCGAATGAAAATTGTGGTCCTACTTTAGCAATTTTAATCTTAAATGGTCCCATTTAGGGAATTTTCCCTACAAATAACTAGTAGGTAGTAGAAATAAATACTCACACCTTATGTGCTCAAGTGAGTGGACCGTCTTTTCCAAACATTTTTACCATTTCAGGCGTTTTCCCCGCTATCTCACATCTAATTTAAGTCCAGTCCCCCTTTTTAGTGTCTTCTAGAATACTCACTAGAGGGATCAAAAATACAATTTCCCTTAGTTTAATTACCTCTACCCTGAATGAGTAATAACGCACTTCTTATTGTAAAAATTGATGACATCTCTGATAAATGTAGCACCGTTAGGAATAAATGTGTGAAATATGCCAATATTAAATATTCATTAGTTGCTTTTATGTGACGTTCATAGAATAGAAGTCCGTTTGGTGATACTGAAATTGGTTGAATGGATTGGTCCCCTAAAATCAATGAATTTTGTGATTGAAGTGAGTGAATGGTCTCAATCTACTGAATTATGAAAAAAATAAAATATATTTTATTAATAAAAATTGAAAGAAGTATATGAAAACGCAGTTAAAATGACCCTCTATAATAATTTCAATAAATTAGAACAGTAACTTCAAATTAACTTGTTTTGATTATTGCACAATTCAACATGTGCAAACAAAAGTTACGTGTTTAATGAAAAAATTGAATAATAAACCTAATAAATCAAAAAACAAAGGGAAAATGGAAACTAAGAATCCAACCTTTTAGCGGTCTTCTTACAATAATCCAACCTTTTGGTTATTCATGAATAATCCAACTTTTGCACATCATCTTCATTCACTAGTCCCTGACCGGTTGATGACCTGTTATTCCAAGCTATTTTCTTATCTTTGCAAATCATTATACCATAAATCTCATCTTTCACAAAGATAATATTTTGTAAAGATAAGAAAATAACTCGGAATAGTAGGTCATTAACCGACCAGGGCTCAATGAATGAAGATGAGGTGCAAAGGTTGGATTATTCATGAATAATCAAAAGGTGGGATTATTGAAAGAAGACCGCTAAAAGGTTGGATTATTAGTTTCCATTTTCCCAAAAACAAAATCACCAAACTAACTCTAGATTTCACAAATAATTTAATGTAACAACTTATTATTAATTTTAGACGAAATTGACACCAATATTTCTTACTTTTAGGCATTTTACAAAAATAATCTCTAGTAAAAAAGTTCACAACAATAACCCCAACCGGATAATTGTTTCACAAAAATAAACCGCATGTTAACGGTGTTAACTTTTCCATTATTTATTTTAAATTTAAAATAAAATGAAGCAAATATATATATATATATATATATATATATATATATATATATAAACATTAATAATAAATTTTTTGTAAAATATAATAAAAATATTTGAATACAGACTTGTATTCATTTTAGTACGAAGTTATGTTTAATAAAGAATTACTAAAATTACTTTGAAATCTCTATTACAATGAAACAAAAATGAATATATTTTATGAGTATGTTTTAAAATTTTCTATTACATTTTATGAAAAATAATGACTATTAAATTTAATTCATAATAAAATTAAATATAAGGACAAATATACAAAGAGCCCGTTTGGTAGTGCGAAAATCGGCTGTTTTGGCTGATTCTGCTGAAATTTCTTAAGTTCTGGCTGAAGTGGCTGCATTGGCTAATTCTGCTGATTTAAGAAACAATTATTTTTAAAATATATTTTATTAATAAAATAAAGAAAAAAATATATGTAAAAAATAGCTAAAATGGTCATCTACAGTAACTTCAGCCAAAAAAGCCAGAAAAGTAACTCCAACCTTACTTTTTCTGCTTATTACACGACTCAGCGCGCGAAAGTAAAAGTTACGAGTTTGGTGAAAAAGGTTGCTGATAAGGCTGATAAGCTGAAAAACAGTGCTGCCAAACGGCCTCAAAGTATATACCATACTACTCCCTCTGTCCCGCAATAAACTTCACACTTTTCTTGATTTTGTACATATTTTCGCTTCATTATATTTAGAACGCAAAAAAAAAACTAACGGAAAAATTAACAACGTTAACTCCTGTTTATTTCTGTGAAAGAGTCAAGTAGTTCAAAATTATTGTTGTAAACTTTTTCAGTAAGGATTATTTTTGTAAAATGCATAAAAAGTAGGAAGTATTTATTTATATAAGAATAAATTAGCATCTATATGTGGAATCCTAGGCATGTATGGTCTAGGGCCCTAGGCCCATTTCCCTCTGCCTTACTAATAGCGACGTAGAATGCAATTAGTATGGCCTAATAAGGTTTTGTGTGATCTTTGACACGACAAAGCAAACTACGTACACACTTTCTTTTTACGTGTAAATTAAAAGTTACGTCGTCTGACTGCATGCCGTCGCTTCCTGCAACAGTGCCTACATGCTAGCTGATCAAAAATGACGAGACGGGATGGTTTGAATTTGCAAATTGCAATTACCAAAAGATCAGAGTCCTTTTATTGCGATTAATATCTCTACCGTTAGTACTGTATTTATGTGGTTTTGTGATAATAATAGTACGCGGCTATAATACATGCACCAAAAAATAAATTAGAAAATACACAAATTCATATTGCAATTAGGTTAGAAATTACTCCGTAAAAGGATAAAAATCATGGATTATTGTGGCAAAAATTAAGGCATTTGCACTTTTTCTTAGATAAGAAAACATATAGAGCAATTAGCGTGATTTATAATGAAATTTATTGCACCATAGAAAATCTGGTCCTTTTTTTGTAATGGGATAATCCTTCCTACAAAGTTCAGGTCTTTTTGAAATTCGGCATACTATTGACACTTTTTTATGCTCATACAAGTGTGGTTGTTTAAGATCTTTGTATTTGGTTTATATCCTTATATCTATCGTGTGTGAAATGACTCAAAAGTGAATTCTACACTACCAATTTAATTACGTAATACTCTCTCTGTCTCAATTTGTTTTGCAAAGTCAACATTTTTTGGTCAACCAATAATAAAAGTCAACCCTCCCTATGAATAATTAATTCAATTTTTAATAATTAAAATTTACATATACAAAAACTACATTAAAATCTATTCAAAGTTGTAAACTTCAAATTAGAAAATAATTAAAAATTGACATCCTAATTAAGTGAACAAAACGAGACTGTTTGACTAAGAAAAGTCAAATTTACAACTCTTTTTGGGACGGGGGTAGTATATAATAAGAGAAATGGTCCAATGTAAGAGTAAAACATGGCCCGTATGCACAAATAGGAGCTCTTCTTTTTAAATACCTAAATAGGAGTATGTTTAAAGTGTTTGGACATATTTGCCCTTCCTTTAATGGGTTTAATGCGCCAAACCCCCCTGTGATTTGGAAATTCGGCGCATTAGCCCTCTGTGATTTAAACAATGCGTCAAACCCCCCTGCGTTTTAATTAATCATGCGCCAAATCCCTTATGTGAACAAATTCAATTGTCAAATAAAAGAAAAATGATTAACATTTTTGTATGATTCAGAGATTTTGACATATTTATTTGCACATTCAATCAAAATATTAGGAAAAATGATTTTCAAATCGTTAAATTTATTCATAAAGGGAGTTCTGTGCATGATTAATTAAAACACAAGGGGGTTTGACACATTTTTTAAATCACAGGGGGCTAATGCGCTGAATTTCCAAATCACATGGGGGTTTGGTGCATTAAACCCTTCCTTTAATTGACACGAGTACCTTCTTCTCTTCATCTCCTGTGTGGATTGTGCTGCCAGCCTGCTACTCCCTCTCTCCTCTTCAATTAAGGTTTCTTCTCAATTTTCAATTCACTCTCCAGCACCCATAAGGCCATCTCCAACGAGCATCATCTTCAACACCAAAATAGTGTATTTGGCAAAAAAATGCTCCAACAATGATACTAAACTTTACACCATTACACCAAAATGGGGGAGGGGGGATGGCTTTACGCCATATATGGCGTACGCCATATTCAACACCATCCAACTTTTTAATTTCTTTTCCTTTTAAATGTGACCTTCAAGTTTTAATTATTATAGTTTTGACCCATTTTTAAAACAACAAATTAGGATGTTTTACTTGGACTTAAATTGGCTTGTCCGCTCTGATCTGGTCTGGTCTGATCTGGTCTGATCTGAAATAATGTGGTCTGGTCTGATTTCTTTGTATTTTTATAACTACCCAAGTGTGGTCTAATCAGGTCTGATCTGATCCCGAGACAAATTACAGTCCAAGTAAAAACATCCTTATAGAACAACAAATTAAAATTATTAATTTGACAGAAAAAAATATAATAAAATTTAAATCACACAATATTATAAATAAAGTTTTAAATCCAAACAACATTATAACAGAATACAAATGGTACTTAAGGAAATAGCATAATTAAAATTACAATTAATAACACCATTATAATTAAAATTAAAACATAATTAAAAACATACATGGTACATACTAATTTAGAAATTAGTAGTCATTCAACCTGCTTCCAGACCCTCCGAGACCATAACACAGATTCCCAAATCCAGCTGATGATCCTCCTTCTTGAGATTTTTTTTTGTAAAATTCTCGATCTTTCTGCAATGATATATGCTCGCGTTTGTATGTGGTTTTAGCTTTTATTTGTGAAATATTGATTATTGTATTTTAATTAGTGAAATGCGTGGGTTCGGTTCTTGCGGTTCGGTTTTGACCTAAAACCAAATATAGAATCAAAGTAAAAAGTTCGGTTCGGTTTCGGTTCGGTTTTACACTCCAAAACTTGGAACCACGGTTTGATTGGTTCGGTTTGTTTCGGTTCGGTTTCGGTTTTTTCGGGGTTTTACCAAAAAAATATCACTTGATTCAAAATTGATATAATACTTAGAGGGATCAAACATATTACATATTACATAAAGAATGCAAGCACAATACAACAAAAAATAAAATAAAAATGAGAATAGATAAATATGTCTTGAATTATATGAGTATGCGAGATAGATAAAACTGTATACTATCGTATATTATAGATTTAATTTGTTTGTGAGTAATTCGAAAAAAGTTCATGAATATATACATTATATACTTCTATGTGATATAGTTGAGATGAATATTTATTGTTTTATCAATATAAAATCTTTAAGTTATCTAAAAAAAGTTAATTACTACTAATAACTAGTAAACACATATTATCATCATTCAATATAGCTACATTATTACAGACAATGAATGTGTAAATGAATTTATAAACTAAATCAAATTAAACATAACACAAACATTATTTCTCTAACACAAGAAAACCAAAGACTATTGATGATATTAAGATTAATTAGAAATAATGCTTAACAATTAAATTATAAATGTCATATTTTAAATAGTTCGGTTTGTTCGGTTCGGTTCGGTTTTGAAGGGTAAAAACCAAAACCGAACCAAACAACTGCGGTTCGGTTCGGTTTTTTACATTCGGTTTCGGTTTCTTAGCGGTTCAGTTTTATTTGGTTGCGGTTCGATTTAATTTGATTCGGTTTTCGGTTTTTCGGTTTTTCGGACCCAGCCCTAAAAATACATATTAAATGATGTATTTTAGTTTGTATGTGTGAAATAATGTGTGAAATGTCAAAATATTAAATGAGGGGCTAATGTATAAATATATGATAGTTAGATACTTAAATAGAAGAATGGTAAAAAGTTAGTAAAAAGAATAAAATGAGAATATTCCTTTTTTGGTGATGAAAATGGTGTAAATGGTTGGAGATAAAATACTGTTTGATGTGATGTTTACACCATTTTAGTGTAAAAAATGGTGTTAACTGTTGGAGATGGCCTAACAACAAAGAAGCACGGTGGGGCACGCCTACTAGGTGTAACAACTAAGGCGGAGGCGGCTGTGACCCTGCTGCGGTGGCGGTGACCGTGATGAGGCGGCGGTGGTGAACTTGATGAGGCGGCGGCGGCAGGCAACCCGGGTGAGTCTCCTCCTCCTTTTTCTTTTCCTTCTTCTTCTTCTTCTTTCTTCTTTTCTTCTTCCTCTTCTCCCTCTGCTACTCCTCGCCATGCTACTCTATTTTTCTTCTTTTGTTGAGTTTTTTATTTTTCATTATATTTTTGATTTTCTTTTGTTGTTCCATATCTAAAATTTTTTTTATTGGAAAATGAGACTTCTACAGTCCTACGGTCTTTTTTTATGGAAAGAGACTCCTTGGATTTGGACCAAATAGTTTTATATCTGTTTTTTATATCCTAGTATCCTACTAATTTATTGTACAAAATAATGTTACTATTTCTAAGTATTTCGAATCTGAAATGGAAGTTGAAAAAATATCAATTTATACTATTTTCTTTATAAAAATGGCAGTATTATTTTTTCAAAAAAATGATGGCAATAATAGTAAAAATATTGTAATTATAGTGTCATGTTTCCAATAAAAAATGTCACTTTGACAAATAATTAATACCATATTTATGGCATAAATTTATCAAAATGACATTATCACCTTTGATTTTCTCTTTTACTATTTCTTGGCTTTTTTGTATTTTGATTTTATGTTTCAGTCCATTTTATCATAGAATGTCATCATATCACACAAAATGCCATTTTTTTAATCAGAAAATGCCATTTTTTTTTCACAAAATGTCTTTTTTTCTTCAAAAAATGCCATTTTATCTCAGAATGCCTTTATCTAGAAATGCCATAGTTTTTGTATGTCACACAAAATGCCATTTCTTTTATCACAGAATGTCATTTTTTATCTCATAATGCCATCTTTTTATCTGGAAATGCCATAGTTCTTGTAATTATAAATGCCATATTTTTAAATCTGTGAATGCCATGTTTGCTTATGTCTTTTATATCAACAATCTTGTTGGAGGAAACAGCCACATCAATGGGGAAGATATCTATGTCAGATAACACTTCGCCACCCCATATGAATACTCGCCGGAGGGCGGCGGCGGCTCCAGGGAGGTGGTGGCGGTTGCTCCCAAGAGGCGGTGAACTCGCCGGAGGACTGCGGCGGTGATGCTTCAGCCAGTGGCGGCGGACTAGCCAGGCGGCGGTGGCAGCGGACTAACCGCACGACGGCGGCGGACTAGCCTGACGGGAGTGGCGACGCCATAGACAGCGTCGGCGGCGGCAGAGACGGCATCGGCACAGACGGAGGCGGCAGCAGAGACGGCGGCGGCGGCACTGACACTGGCGGCGGACTCTCTGAGCAGATGCCTAATGATACTTCGCAGGATTGGAGGCAGATTATTAGGGTTTACATATTTTTCTATCTTTTAATTGTAAATAGGTTTGAATTTCATTAAGGGTATTTTAGTCCGTCAATACAATTTTACTCCTATTATGGAATATCCAACATTGAACTCCTATTTTTGCACATATTCAATGTTTTACTCCTATCAAGGTAATTACCCCATATAATAAGTGATCGAGTGTACTATCTCCGTTCTTAAATAAGTGCAACATACCAAATTTTACACTATTCACATGTTCTACTTTGACTACATTTTATTTATTGATGTATTAATATATGTTTTTGAAAAAAATATTACCAAATATGTCTCATTGTAAGTCCTAAAAATCTGATTTTTTTAAATTTTTTTACTAATAGAGATTTATATTTATTAATGGTCAAAGTTGTGCCTCGACAAAGGTGAAATATTGACTGTTGCATTTATTTAAGAACGAAGGAATTATAATACTTATAATGCATATGATTGGTCCATGCGTGTACTAAGCACGACTGTACGACTTCTTGCAAGTAGAGTAAATATTGCCTAACAATGTCCCACAAGATATGATGGTTACGTTGTTCGTCTAGTCGCTCGTTTGCTTGATGAACTCTCGAACCATATTTAAAACTATGTTCATTTCATTATTACATTCTTTGTTTATGTAATTTGAAGTACCCGATTCTAATTTCTAATATTTTAATAGGTTCATGTGCACATGAAAGGCTAGCTATACTCCGTACTACCTCCGTCCCTAAATGTTCTTCCAAAATAAAGTGACACATTGATTAAGAAAGTGATAATTGTGTGGTGGAGAGTTGTGCAGAGAAGAGAGAAATGCTGTGAATCACAAATTCTTTGCCAAAAAGGGAAAATGAAGTTCTTTTTGAGACGGACAAAAAGGGAAAGTTGGAAGTTATTTTAAGGACGGAGGGAGTATTATGGTAGGTATAGTAGAATACTCCCTAAAAACGTCCTACAAAGTGACAACATATTAGAACACAGACCAATCTTCAAGTTGGAACGCTCGTGACTCGTCGATATGTTCTTGTTACTAATGCTTACTTTCTAGGCCCTAGTAGTTCATTGGATTTAATCAGCTATGACGCACGATATGTTAAAACTTAGAGTTACATCCGAAGCATTAATCTCATACTTCCTTTGTTCTTTTTTAGTTGTAACGGTCAACATTTCACACTTGTCAACGCATGTCTTTGGCCGTAATTATATCTTAATCTCTATTAGTAAAAAAAATTTAAAAATCGGATTTTGAAAATTTGTAATGAGATAAATTGAACAATATTTTTTTGAAAAAATAATTCTCATAAAATAATACTGTAACATGTAGTCAAAGTAGAACATGTGAATAGTGTAAAATTCAACATGTTGCGATTAAAAAGACAGAGGATAGTAGAAGATTGTAATCCCATGTCTTTAAATACGTCGATAGCGCGCAACTTTATATTTAATTTGACCGTAGTGATCGATCGAGAATATACGGATAATGTTCATCAAATAGATCACAACTTCCTCGGCCGTCATGGTATTCCACAAGATGTTGAACATGATCGACGAGAGGGTGTTATCATTGTGCGATGATTGATGGAGAGAGCCGCGGCGGGGAGGGGGCAACCGGTGTAAGCCTTATTCAATCGGAGGGCGTGGGGGTGAGGAAGAAGATAATTCAAGTAGAGTTCGAA